CCCCAAAACCCCAAAACCCCTCAACATCATTTTATGACATTAAATTTAAGTTACATTATATTCTTAATCAAAATTAAAATTAGAATTTGTTATTGATCAAAAGCAACTTTAAAAATCATAACTTTTATTGAGCCTTTTTATCAAATCAATGAAGTAATGTAAGCCCTCAAGCCTTTTATTACTCTTATGCAGTTGAGTTTTATTGCTTTTTCTTGAAATACATAAGAAAAAAGAATCCAAAGACAATGATTGTCAAGAAATATGGGAAGTATATGTCGAAGTGAACAATTTTGTTAATGATTGGTTGTAATTTAGTCCAGAGCACTTAGTAGAACATTTTGCCTTGAGGTTTTTTGCCCCCATCTTTGTGATGCTTTCTTTCATTATGCTCACTTATTATATTATCTTAACTTGGATACTGATCCTTTTATCCCTTAAAATTGGCATCAAATTTCATTTGTTCTTCCAATCTTTCAATTTCCTTCATTACTTCATCTATCTGAACTGGAGTATCATTAGAGATTTCAATGATCTCAGAATCAGCTTAATACTCATAATCTCTAATATTCTAGCTTTATAAGGGACTATGATGTAATTTAGTGTCGTACTAAAGCGTTTTTGGAAGTTTTATATCTGGATCTGTGTATACGTTAAACTTTACTCCTACATTACTTTAGTGGAAAGTGGTACTGTAATGTTCAATACCATTTACTTTTACTGCAGCTGTGAAAGTCTCAAAGTTAGGAAACTACTTTGATGTAAGTCTAACATAGTTTTACTATCTTAATGCTAGATCATACTTGAATTCATTAGGATCACTTTACCAGCCAGAGGAAATAAAGATGTCGATTGGCATCTATGAAGAAAATACAACTTCATAATATAGATTATTTGCAAGACCTGTATTATATTGATAATACAGCCACTATGTTCCATTAGTTTTAATTTTTTTATAGTATTAGTCAATTAGTATCTCAACTTTTTCAGAGCAGTCAGCTCCCTTAAATCCAATATTGCATTAGCATTAGCCATTATTTCCACAAACACCATTGCCATTACAGTTACTCATAAATGTACACATAGTTTAGGTCACTTGGCAATCTTCAGGTTTGTCTTTGTGACATAGAGCTTACTTTGACTAATGAAATCACTTAAAAACTAATAGGTAGTTAGCAATTGAGTCTAAGGAACAAAGTGCCCTGCTTTTGGTATTGTAAGGATTGTTAACTTGCTATCAGAATCATATTTCTAGTATCCTCCGACAATGAATGTTCCATCCTTTTGTTTTACATAGTAAATTTATCTGGGCTATTAGCTGATTGGAGTTGTAGACTTTGCTTATCTTCTACTATTAGCTAGAAAATCTTCGATGGTAGATGGCCCATCCCTTTAGTCCCATTAACCTGCATAAATAAGAACTGGCTTGTCTTCATACAGCATGTCAAACCAATTTGTCGAATCAAACATGCTCTCACTGTTTAATGCATTAGCAACTTATTAATTCTTTTTCTCCCAAATAGGAACTTTTGTTGATTTCTCTATGTGAATTGCTGAATACAATTCTGCTTTCCTCCCAGATTAGCTTAAGTATTTGATGTAAGGTGCAGTGATTTTGTTCTAATCATAAGTGAATATTCTAGCATCATAACTAAGGACATCCCCGCTAACATCTTAAATGTAATCTAGAACCTTTGAGCATGTATCATCTGATATATCCCAATTGGATGAAAGACTCTGCTCACACTACTTATGCAGAGTGCTAATTTAATCTAGGTTGGAATCATCTACTATCCCAAGAGATTGAGCAACTTTATGAGTTGAAAGTCTTTGTACAGGAGCTGAAATCAATGGATCTCCCATAAGAACTCCACCTAAATATGCCTTACCTTTTCCTTGATTATCTTCATAAACCACTAATTTCCTTCCAAAAATAGAAATGTATTTACCAGCGAAGGATTCACCAGCTAAATAATAACTGCCACCTTAAGGAACAGAATATTCTGGGAATAGGGTTAGAAATTGATCAATGAAATAAACAAAATCAGAAGCAGCATCATCCAAATGATTGATATAAGAATTTCCATAAGAAAATCCAGTGTTTACTGGATTGTCAATATATACCACATCAGCCAGTTCAGTCCAAGCACCATCTCTTATACTAACAAGAAAATCATCAGGATCCTTCCCACCATTAGGTTATGTTATAAGTAGTGGGCCATTCTCAAGGAATAGTCCTGCCATAGAAGAAGCTCCTGGCCCACCGTTAAGCCAAACTACTAGATTTGGCTTCTCAAGCGTAGGGTTTTTTACCAACCAAAAGAATAGATTATGATCATTTTTAGCATCTGCTGCTAATGTTCCTGAATACATACAAGGAAGAGTTTTTGTTGGATCCCAATACGGTAAACTCGTTATTGAAAATTTATTTGATTTGCACTCTTATCCAGCTTTAATTTCATTCTTTTTATTATCTTTGTGATTTTTATGGATAAAATCAAGGAAGGGGTTATTCTAAAATAATAATGATGCAGTTGCTGTTCCACAAATAGTAAGTGCAGTTATTAAGTTTATGTTTAATAGATTTTTCTTCATTTTTAATATTATTAAATTAATTTTATCATTATTTTTAAATCTTTGACAAATCTGCAATAATACAAGAAAAATGCATTGATGGGGTTTTGGGGTTTTGGGG